ATTTTCTAGTAATGATTATCAGAAAAACTTAGGATGTAGAGTGTGTTGAGAATAACTTGAGTCCTGTTGATTTGCACATGATCACCAGCTGCTCCATACGATCCCACAGGGCCTGTGCTGCCTGCTGGTACAAGCACTGAGAATCCTTCACGTGGCCACTTCACAGCACTAGGTGTGAAATTCAGGTGCGGGACAGCGTAAGGAAGAAAGGATACAAATCTCGCCACCAGGAGGTAAGCTGGCAAGGCCACAAATTCTTAATATTATAACTCTCTTCTAGACAAATGAAGACTGAAATAAAGATGGTTTAAACAATGGCAGAGCATTACGGGAGTCTAATGCCATTAGTAGAAAAACTCAGTCACAGTATGGTCCACGTAAGCAAGTTCTTTTGGTTACCAAACTACTGAATTAGCACATCAAGAAACAATTTCTACTAGAAGCCTGCGTTTTACTCTTCATCCTCCAAAAATCACACCTAAAGCTGCTTTTTGCATGTTCTGAAGCCCTCACATGAAAACAGCATTAACCACACTGGCAGTGACTTAAGGAAGAGACAAGTGACTCGAGATTTTCAGAGTCTGTGGGATCAGCACTTTGTTCAGATGAGGCCATTCAGAGATGCTTCAAAACTGCCTACCTAGGATTACAACTCTCCATCAACAGCTAACAGTGAAAACCTCTGCCCTGGAGAACAAACTGCTTGTGCCCCATTTCTGCAATTCTGTAAGGTGCCAGAAATATCGGAAGAATTCTTGAGAGCAAATTCAGCACCAGAAATGACAGTAAGAAAAATATTTGAAAGATTCCCTAAGAGAAAAATCACTAATGAAAATTACAGAATATATTTAGAAAACCTGAAAGAAAATTGGTTTTTAAAGGCCTCTGACTATTCCAGCTACAACTTGGAAACCAGTGTTATGCTGGACACACTTAGATGGCAATGTCTCCCTTTCAGTAATGTCGCAGGCAGAGGAAAGCAAAATCACCAGTTACTTTAAAACACAGCAACTCAGGAACACAGCCCAGCCAAAGTGAGCCCCTCTCAACGGAGGGGGCAGTCATTGCTGCAGTCATTGCTGCAGTTCTGCCTCACTGCCATCTCTTCACGGGGTTTCAAGGATTCTCCACTCCTCGTTTACGCTAAATGGCACCATAAACTGATGCTTTTAGTGGTGGCTGCAGGATGACAGCAAGTCTCATAATGGAGTTTCACCAGAAAATGATGATGGAGAGTACGGGAACAGTCAGGCCAGGAAGCGGACAGCAGCATGAACGAGGAACGATAAATGTTGATCTGCACATCCTGCAGACTACTCACAGCCTGGACCCGGGGTAATGCCATAACAAGTGTCACTACTACAGCAAACAAGTATTTTTTTTCCCAACAGTTTAAAGAAAAGCAGAATTTCCTCAATCATACACAACCCTCACATTTCAAAAGCATGCACTACTGCTTTTGCTGCATATGTCTGCACAGAAATTCTCTTGCTACCAATGACGACCTCCAGGTGCTCTATTAACAACAGAAAAGACCTTGACCTGAATATAAAGGCAACAACAAACCATAACTGGAAATGCTCTTAAAAAGAGCTAAAATACCCACATTTACAAATAATCCATGGATCTAAAGCTATGTCCATGTACAACACCACAGTTATACTCGTGCACTCACTTTCTGTAACTGCCAACGAGGCGTCTTCACACAGCAGGGTATCAGAAGAGTCAAGATATTTACTTCTTTGTCTGTCACGTTCCCTAACAAGGCCAACCTGCCCAGCATCCTCAGCTCAGCCCAGTCGATACACACAGCACGTTCTCCACACCCTACAAGCATCTCGGTTTCACTCCCATGAAGTGCAAGTGTGGCTGTAAAACTCAGCTTGAACTGCGTCTCACAACACTAGAGGTTCCTTTCAAATGGGACAGAAATACCTAAAATTAATTTTAGTTCCTAACTACACCATGGTACTTACCAAAACAAGAACAAAGTTTTCCACTTCAAGCAGAAAAACAAACTACAGGAAACAGGGTGGAACAGCAGCAGATTCCACTCACAGGAGGAGCAATGTGACGTGGCGCATGCATTCAGTTTTAGATTAATATTTTTGGGCAAATAAGTTTACACCAGGATTCCTTTTCCAAGAAAGACAAACAGAGTCCCTTTTCTTCACTTCAGTCTCTACAAAATCTCAACAATTCTGGAAGACAACATTGAGGAGGAGATTCTCAGACGAATTCAGTTGCTAAA